CTACTTGTCATTTACTTCTCAAGAAAGGTAACTTGTACACTATTTTGCAGCATTTTCTGAAGACTATATTTTATTCTTGGTATACATTTTCAGGTTTTCTAACAACTAAGATAATTTTTCCTTTGTGTGTGTGCTACCCAAGTAGTTGGAGAATAAGTCTTTAAAAACAATATTCAAGAGTTTATATAATCTTATACAAGCTGTTACCTATTTAGAATGGGAATATTAATATGTAGAGTATACATATAAAGCTATAAATAATATATACACATATATGATACATATACACACCTACTTAAAATAAGGAGAAGGAAAAATAATAGACAGTGAACAGGAGAGGAAGAGCGATGGAGATCATATGTACTGTGTTAAAGCATCCAAATATATTAAGCAACAGAAAAATACATTTTCAGATTTTGATGCGATTTGTTTTATATACACACACACGTGTGTGTGCATGCATATACACAACATTTGATGATTATTTTTTAATAGTAATTCTCCAGTACATTTTACAAACTAAAATGTGAGCAATAAAAAATTAAGTAATAATGATAATCCCCAATTCCGAATAGAGCTGAGAGTTTTTCACTATTCTCAATATAAAAATTAATGCCTTTTAAACTAAAAAACTGCAATTTAATGGATTTTTTATTCTGTAATTGCATTTCAAAACAGATGCTAAGGCTATTACGACTAAGGTAACAATTGCTCCATTGGATTGGGAAAATAAAAGGCCTTCTAAGCAATGGTCAAAACTGAGTTTTTCTACTCATCAACATTTATAGAAAAACAAAACAAACAGAAAAAACAACACATGAATTATAATTCCATAACTTAGGAAGAAAATGTAAAATATGTAATTCAAGCTAATAGATTCAATCATCAAAAAATAATTTTATTCAAGTGTTTCACTGGAGATTTACCAAAGAAACACCAAATTTCGATTCTGCAGTGTAACAGCGAGCCAGTTATTATGATTTCAGCTACTTGAAATGGCTGGTATATTCTCAATTTGTGTCTCAATTCTTATATATATGTGTTCTCTCATGCATATGAGATCTCTCACACTTTGCTTAGTAACAGCAACAAGAAAATTAATGGTGGAAAAAACGTTCAAATTACTGTCAATCTGAGCATCGTTTCTCTCTTATCTCCTATAGTGGTCCACTTAAGAATCCATTTTAGCTACTCTTACAGATAAGCTTAGCTGTAAGAATCATACATTTCCCCATAGGTGGAAAACAAATGTAATTTGTCACACACTGTGGAATTCAGACATTTCTGCACAGTCGCTGCACTCCACTAGAATCTCTGAAGGGGAAGACACCCCAGGTAGTTGGCTGCAGACGCATCTCAGCAACATGGCACATAGTTACAATTTGACACATAGAGTCTTTATAAATCCAATGTCTATGAAGTCAAACAAATCTCCTTCTTATTTATAGTAACAGGCAAGAGCAGATCTCTGCCGTCTTGTTACACAGATGGTTGTAACATTTTTATAGTTAACTTACAACCACTGATGCCTGAGGAATAGACACACATCTGCCCCAAACTGCCAGTCCTGTAGGCTCTTCTTTTTAACTTCAGCTCCCAAAAATACAGTTGAAACACACACAACACTACTGCCTCTCCCAAAGTACCACGACAAAAAGCCCCAGTCAAATTTGTATAACATGTATTGCTAATGTTGTGTCGATCAAACAGTGATCACACACACATCAAAGGAAAAAATACTGGCTCTAATCACCAAGTAGGAATTCCAGAGAAAACTTACAGTCCCTGGATTCCACCTACAAATCTTAGTTTGAAAATTAGTTTGGAAACATCCAATCATAAGCTTCCAGAATTATGCTTCATTAATAATGTTTCAAAAAAGCTTTATACTTCATACAACATATTGTTCATGTACTCTTTCTTGTTCTTTATATAAAGTAAAGGCATAATTGGTTCATCTTTAAAAACAGAAATCGATTGCTTGTGATTTTCTTCTGCTCCTCGAAGACAACAATCCACATTATATACACCATTTGGGTCTTTAAAATTCCATTCTTTCTTCTATCTGCTAATTTCTGCTATGAACACTTACCTACAGAATTTGAAGAATTTAATCATAAAATTTGCATTCAAGTTGAAAACGGATCCCAATGTGCTCTTTGCCACACCAAAGAGATTTTATTTCTCTAACACTCATACCTGTGAAGGCACTGACACGGATCAGCTCACTTCCACAGGCACAGCCTTATGTCATGCTATCTAATACTTTTGAGATATTACATAGCTAAACAAATCACTATCTAAAATCATTTAGCTGGATGTCTACTTCTTTTAATGTTGTTTTTCACTGAGGAAAAACACTGAAAGGGATGGATATCTGCATTACCATGAAAACTGATTTAAAATCATCTTTAAAGACTGCAATTTAAAGCAACCTTTTGTTTTGAAACCCGCTTACATTTCATACAATATTCATGTACAGCATATAGCCAGAAAGATAGGGATGGCAAAAAAAAAAAGTTATCCTGTTCATTTTCAGCAGTGTAGCTATTGCAACTATCAAACACTGCTGCTCCAAAATACATTCCAATCTCCAATTGAACAATTAGATCTTGCACCTGCCACAAAACAGTTACACCACTACACAAGTAGTGATGGACTTCTTAACTACAATGCTACCATTTCTTATTAACCAAATGCAACACTCAGTTCAAGATTAAGTCAAAATAATTTTACTACAAGTAACTAAAGAGAGGCAGAATAAAAACAAAGAAAATCAGGGAGGAACCCACTGCACATTGTTGTGTTGAAAGGAGACCAAGGGTACTGGTGGCTGCATAAAAAGGGAAAACATATCCTTGCAGTAAGAAGCAATCAGCCTTAATAATGCGTTGTGCTTATTTGTACCTGAGTGTTGGATGGAAATCTGAGGAAAAACACATTATTTCTTCTTCTCTGTTCTGCTAAATAACACTGATAGATCTCTGTTTCCAAAATCAGAAGAGAAAAATTGCTGTTTTTTATTCGGTGGAAGTCCTTCAACTTATAAAGAAATAAGTGTGAAATTTATTTTTTGTAGAAGTTATACTTGCTGATTTTCTTCACTTAGGAAAGAATAGTTCATAGCCAATTTATAGCAGTTGGCAACTAAGAATCCATTACAGTTTTGACATGGAAACTAAAAGCAGATTACACTGAATTTTTAAAGCAGTTTATAATAGCAGCTTTGTCATTAATTACCTGGATTTTAAATAAATGCAGTGTAAAATCATAATTAAAAATATGTTAGAAGAGCCCTCTCTTAAAATGCTGTTACTGGCCATGATTCGAATGCTCAATAATCTCCGCCACATTTAAATATTCTAAAATATTTAATGTGACAAATACTATCACTGTGCAGTTTTCTCTCCTTGCCGTTATCAAAACAGCAGCAGAAGGTAGGGCACTGCCTGCAGCATGACCACTCTGCTTTCAAATCACTTTTCTGTTCTGGATTAATGCTTTCAATCTTTTCTACTGTATAGTCACTGCTGCTGCAGCAGAGAATGAGCAACATTTTCCACTACGTCTGTTTGGTTCTTACAAAAAGGAAAGGCTCTCCTAAAAACTTACACAGAAATCTTAAATTCACCTCGATACTAATAATGCTACAGCTTTAGGGGAACAGCTAGGGAAAAAGAAAAAAAAAGACTGAACTTTTTTCCCCGCTAAAAGTAAAATTGAGTCCTCAGTGTGTGTTGCCCAAATGTGAAGAATCCACCACAAAAAAACAAAGGGGAGGTAAGATCAATGGAAAAACTATGTGGTCACATAGATGGAAGACACAATCACATAGGTATTTTGAGTTTCTTTGTTCTCTGAGCTATAAAAAATTACAGCAATTATGGATTACAGAAGAACTAGATGGGGCTCAGACAGAAATCAGAAAAGGAGAAGAAGGGGACCTGGGATACTAAAAAGAAAACAAAGAGTTTTCAAGAAACAGTATAATATAGACAGACAGAGACCATAGTTGGAATGGAGTGAACAAACAGGACTGGAACATTCAGTGCAAGCTATGTTCTTGTCAGGTACTCAAAAATAGGCCACTAACTTTTGCTCTGTCAGTACCACCTAGCCCAAATGAGCTTGAACTGCACCATGTCTTTCAGTACTGACAAGAAAGAAGTAGCCAGGTCAGCTGGACTTGCAGAAATGCCATTTCACCACTTCTCCCACCTCCCCAGCCACGCCTCAGCTCACTTCAGTGACCCTTAAATTAAATACAGACTGGAAAACAGAGTGAGAAGGTACAGGATTCTTTTGGTACCAAGAAGAAAAGTCTCCAGAGTGTTCTTTAAGACTATCCAACACAAGTCACAGCACAAGGTAGTTCGGAGACTGTCCAGAATATTCAATGTATATTGGAGCAAATACTTCACTCTAGCTGCTACCAGTTACTCCCAAGAAGTCAGTATCCCTTTGAGAAGGCTAGAGGTACCTGGAAGCAATTAATAGCTCTCTGGATACTAAGACCTTCAACAAGATTTTCTTGTTTATCTAAGTTATATATTACCAAGAAACATAATTTGGCAATATGGAAAAAAAGAACATTACATGGCATTACAGAATCCACATCTGTAAACTACCTTCACACTACTGAATAACCTCCTCCTCTCCTTCTCAGCCCTCCCTTCCCTCCTCATTTTTTTTTTTATGGTAAGACAATTCATCCAAGTTAGAACAGAGAACAGCCGAAGCAGCCCACACACATATGTACTAGGCTTAAATTCTTTGGAAGACTGTGTTGTTCAAGCTTTCCTTTTATTTATCCAAAATGGCACAAGCAAAAGATGTTATAAAAAAAACTCGACAGAATGCTTGAAGGAGTAGGGGGAAGGGTGGCCATTTTCATAAAGCAAGACCATTACTTTCAAACAATTTAGTGTCATTTTTATGTTTACAGCCTAACAGGTACAGTATAGCATACCACCTGCTAACAGATTAACAGGACCTCCTACCTTGACTTCATCCTCTCATGCATTCTCCCATGCTGGATACACTGTTGGTCCAATTCATCATTCCGTTTCTGCATCTTCTCCAATCTGCCATGAAGATACTCTTTTTCCTGACTAAGCTGGTTGACTTTAGATCTATAGAAGTAAAACACAGTGATGATGGATGTTGTCAGATTTCATCCTGCAGCGTGCCATCAATATGTGGCTTCAGCATTTATAAAATTCCATACATGGATATATAATGCATAAACAGGCTATTACTAGAACTTAGAAACAAGAAGCCACTTCAAATATTCTTAAAATGGAAGAACATGAAGCTGCAGTGTGTCTGGTAAATATGTCAATTACTCAGTCACAGGTTGGCTATGCTAATTTCAGCTTTATTTAAACAGGCATGTCATTTGACATTAGGTGCTGTTATTAAACATTATCAATACATGTAAATCCATACTTGTTTAGCATTTTGAAAACTCCTTTCAAGTTCTTTGTTGGTAAAGGCCAAAAAATGGGTACTAGAAACTTTTTAACCCTTATTGTACTGCACAGGTTGAACTCTGAATAGTACTACTGTTTTAGAAACTTTATTGCCCTGATATGCCCCAAATACTGCATGACACACACGAAAAAAGAGGAAAATTAATAAAAGCTTAAGAAACAACATTAAAATCATACACACACTCTAATCTACATAAGGCTTGGCAGAGCCTTTAAGAAATTTAGTCACTTTCTAGCAATTCTTATTCTTCACGGGTGAGCAGAGACACCAGATCCATGAATGACCTGGGACTGTTACTTGCTACATCTCTAACCATCAGCCCATGGAGAAACAGGCATGAGCTGTTTCTTAATATCAGGAAAAGATCTCAGATAAAATTGTGATAAAATATACATTATGCACTTGTACAGTTTAACTCCTTGGAAAAGGTTAATGAGAACATGTCAGAATCTGCTATACCATCAGAACGTAAGAATCAAAAGCAGGCAAATTTGTTTTATGGCATCTGCCACTCCAGATCTTGAGGTTAAAAAGCTTCAGAGATATCTTTAAATCATAAACTTAAACATGCTGCAGATACAGAATGAAGAGACTTTACCTTCCTGGCTGTTACAGAATGCAACAACAACTGACATTCTGAAAAACACAACAAAGTGCAAGGGGAATAAATACTCCTTCAAAAACATGTTGTTACACTGACAAGACAGATCTGGAAATGACAACATAATCTTTTCATATTTAAATGGAGAACAATACAGGATATCATCTGTGAATCTGAAAGAACTTAGCAAGGGCAACTTTGGAAGAAGGCTGTGTATAATTTAAATATGGAGTTATGGCTCTATTATGGAACATCAATGAAAAATACATCAGAGTCACACTGATGTTCACATCAAACTTAGATGAATGAGTTTCTGGACATCTTCCTAACAGCGGGCAGGATAGTATAAGGAGGTAACTGAGGTGTAATTCTTAACTTTTAACAGAAACGCTAGTAACTGTGAAATGTCAGTAATAAAGAGTACGGAGCATTTCTTATTATACAGGATAAATGCAGTCTTTCATCTGTATTGATGATGCAAGAAAGGCAATCAGCAGATAAAAGTAAAGGTCCATTACAAAGCAGCACACCAGAGATCTGAGGTAACAGAGCCCAACCCATTTAAACTCATCTACCAGGATGGGTTTCCTTTTTTTGCCAGGAAAATGCAGCTACAAGTATTCCCACAAGGCAAATACTGTCATTTATCATTTCCATGGGGTTTCCCCAACCATGGAATCCTGCTTCCTTTTCAGCATTTATATGACTGTGTAATTCACAGATATAGCAGAAGTAACTTTGAAGAGGTAAAAATCTCAAAGTTTTGAAGGGACTTTGCTCATCTCCAGTGCATTTGAAGGTGCCCGAAGGAATCAAAACACTACTGAAAATTACCACTGAAGAAACTAACTAAAATACTGAATTCACAGAGAACATAAGTAACATGATCTCTAATCTCTTAACACACAGCTCTAAATACCTGATGCTTCGAACCATGTTACTTATGTACTCTTCTCCTAATACATCTCTTATGGAATTACAGTTGAAGAACTCATCAAAAAATCCACATCTATTCCAGATAAAATACTATTTACATGATCACCATTCTAAATTAAATATCTAAGATTCTGAGCATTCAGATTCAAGTATTTCATGACACTGAAATTTTAGAGGACAGCACACAGGAATGGCAGAATGCCTACTGAAGTCAGGATTAAGAAGTTCAGGTATTGGTGTTAAAAAGAGAACACTGGTCCCCAACAACATGCATACTAAAAGTTTCCATCATTGTCTGACAAAGATTCCTCCTGTAGCTTTAAACACACCACTCATCCAACATCAGTTTCCAAAGTTCATTACACAACAGTTCATTCTACACAATCTTCAAACAATTTCAATGTTGTTGGGTAATGAAAACATACCTGTAACAAGCCTAAACAACTGTGTTGCAACAGCAATAGCAAATTTACACTACGAGTAGTCATTCCAGGGGTAGTACAGGGTCTGCACAAATGATCCTAAATAGCTCTGCTCACTCAGCATCGTAACAGGAATGGGCTTTATTCAAAGCAATTGCTGAAGGGGGTAACAACAGAAAAAACCTCTATAGCTTGGGATCCAGCCATCTACTGTGTAAGACTCAACTCCTAAGTTAAGAAGCAAGTTAAATTTGTACCCCTACCACTCCTGCTGGGACAATCTTGAAAAAAACCCCACAAAAATAGCAGGCTATTATCCCAAAACATTCAGATAATAGAGGCTAAGAACCAGCAAATGTTAAATAGATGTAACTTGAAGTTGGACATAGGATATTTTTTAGAATGATTTTTGAATGTTAAGGTGGCAAAGCTGCCTTTGTCCTCTGATTCATCTTTTGCATAGCAGCACTTGGACTCACAAGCACAGAGGCTGGCTTTTTTAAGCATTTTCTTTTCCTACCGTTAAAACCAGTTATTGTACAGCAATTAGATACATTAAATATATGCTGTAAAATATTTTCTGCTATCTCAACGAGTACCACTGCATGTAATTTTAATGATTCATCCCTCAGACAGACTCTGTTTCACATCTTCACACGGCTACCCTAAGCAAACACTCTGCTCCTGGTATCGAAGTGCAATTGACTGCAGTCAACCAAACCCGCAGAAAAATAGTTCAGCCGGGTGTGTGTTCTTTACTTCAATTAAACTCACACAGTTGGATGCCTACTGTTGCCAAAACAGTAATATAATTTATACATTATAGTCCAAACAGTAAAACTACACTAAAAGTCATTTAACAATATTTATAACACCATAAAATACAGTGTTAAAATATATGAACTGCAATATGTACCAAAATTATAAAATTTGTTTCTCATCATCAGTGATTAAAACCAGGATCATTGCTCTAGCTTCAATACTCACAACCCTGGTGACAGATTAGAATTCAAATCTTAATGATCAATTTACAATTAACAAGATAGAAGTGAAACAAATTAAACCAACCATTATATATAACGAGACCCAATGGGCTCCCATTGTTCCCCTTAATTACAAAACGCAAATCACAAATACACAGTGGGCAGTGTTAAGCATTAATCCACAACCTAGAAACTCAGATAGTGACAATCAGAGAAAAAAATAAAAAAAAATAAAAAAGAGAAGAAATCAACAAAGGACTATGGTTTACGGTTACGCCTCTGCATACAGAAACCTTCCCAGACACTACCTTCTTTTTACACAGCTTGAGGGGTTTATAATTTGCCTGAAGTCTTCCTGATTTTTTTTAATCCTACAGAGTGTGTTAGCTCATAAAAAATTTAGATCTATCAGAAAGCCTGTATTTAATACGAAAAACACACATGCAACTCAGAGGTATCCCGCTTAAGTAGTGCAAAGATGTACTCATCAAAAATAAATTTGAAATGCCTTTCATTAGAAGTGGACCCTTTTCTTTCTACAAAGAAAAATATAAAGTTACTCTTACATCTCTTCTTAAAAATAGCTTGATCTGCTTTTACTAATGTACATAAGACCTAAGTTACAAAATCTTCCAAAAAATATTCTTTTAATTTTTTTTTGAGCACAAAAGTACATCATTCTATCCCAGAACTGTGGTTTTACACTATATCACATGAGAATGAGCGTGAAGAGTGCCTTTTGGAGAGATGCTACTGAAAGCTAAAGAATGTTCAGGCATTTTAAATCCAGTTTAAGTCATTTTCTGCATCTGATCTTCTGACCACATCAGTTTTGAAGCATTCACTAAGTTACCATTTTCCACCATCTCCAATTTCACCTTTCAGTTCTTTTCATATGCTTAGTTTTCCCCATACGCTATTTGTCCAGCCCTTTAACTGCCTGCAACAGCTCCCACTTCAGTGCAGGCAATCTCAAACTATTTTGGGGCCATTTCTCTAAACTATTTTAATACATTCTTCCATACTCTTCCTTGTGCAAAGTATACCACTTCATGGAGATCCAAGAGAGCTTCTTCTCCCCTTTCAGGTTCTTGACATAGTCAGCTAATGCTGCTAGGTGGAGAAACACTTGGCAATCTCTGGTATTTATTTTCAGAGAATAATGTGTTTTCACAGTATGTTTTCTGTCTTTCCTTTATCCTTTTACAGTTACTAGTCTGTGATTCTGAGCTCTAGCAACAAAGTCTGTGTGCATTTTTATTGCTGGAATAACGATATGGTTTGAATCTATTTAGATTTTGTATTACTTTAGCAGAGGAGCTCTGCTTTTTCAGAAGAAAAATTCTGTTTGCTTCTCTCTCAAACACCCATCACAACATTTGCAGGGGAAGATGGCTTATATTTCCTCAAGTTTCTAATTTCTTCCCTGAATACTCATGGTGGGATTCATCTCCCAACTTCAGCTACTTAACAGCTAGTCAACACCTCTTACTCAATGGAAAGTAGGATGGCCAGTGGAGGCAGTACCTGTGGAAAGCATCATCTACTTATATCATTCCCCTTTGATCATCCCTGGAGACAGGATATTGGGATAAATGAGTTCTCTCCCTGAGTGAGTGTTGACCCTGTTGTTAGTTCAACAGGATAATTAAATCCACCCAGCAGAAGAAACCTATCTTGAAAACAAGTTTTATCTTTGCTGAATGTTTCTCTTACTTCACATAAGCCATACAAGAATCCTACCTTTAATTGCCAAATTCATTTTATATGAGATTTACAGAAGTCGTGGAATACTACCTCACCATTTCAGCCTTTTTTTCCCCACTTCCCTTAATATGACCTTGCAGTAAGTTTCAACAAAAAGTCTACTTTCATACTGAAAAATATGCAACATCAAATTAATGACAAGGAAGGAATATGAGGGCTAGAACTGTAATATTTCTGTCCTATAGGACTTACTTTTTAAATAGATAACTTCATACTTCTGCATTTATTTAAAACAGTTATTGCTTCTAGTTTTTATTGTACTCCAGAAATTTTAATGGTTTCGTACGTAGCCCTACTACTGATTTTAAATGAGAGCACCATATAATAAGCGTCAGCAGAATCAGAGCTTCAATGACAAGCAATTTTGACAACAAATTTTACAGAGATAATTATTCAGTGTGTACTACTATGAATGGGGCTTTAAGTAAATAACTAAAGCAACACACTACGGTTTTGAGAGCTTTTAATATTTGCTATTTTTAATATAGTGTCAGATAAACTGGAATTGTAGTTCCACTAACAACTTTCTACTTTTCATATTAAGAATAAGAACATCAGAAATAATATAGTAAGCAATTTTTACACTGGAATTATCTAAAACCAAAAAGATTAAATTAATAGCCACAAACATCATCTGAAAAGTAGAAAATGAGAACTATCTTGGAAAAAAATCCATCCATGTTACACAAATGGCATGTGTTATATTGAGAGGACATGCAATATCTGGGACAAGATGAACAACAAATATTGAAAGACAAATATAAAATAAGGAAGCATGTCAAAACAATAAGGGGGACAGGATAAGAAAATATACTAACCTGTATTTTTCTGACGTTTGTTCCAACTTGCTTGCCAACAAACAACATTCTTTCTTTAATTTTCCTATGAATGTTTTCTGGGAGGTCAGCAATGAGTCCAATTCATTTACTAGAAATAATAACATTAGAAAACTAGAAAATTAATTTAAAATTACATAAATACATAGAGAATTTAGAACCTATTTAATATATTCTTTATTTCTCTTGTTTAGATCCCACTAGTTTTGGCATGTTTTTTCATACTTCACCTACATGCACATGGAATTATAACATCACCATTCGCCAAGTAAAGGCTGTATGTCAGAATAAGCTAACCTAAAGTGTTAAGGTGATGTGACCATTGAATCAGGTCTTGTGTGAATCCCTGTAAAGACTACATATCGCATCCAGTGGTTTTAGTTCTTAGCTGGAAGGTTATTGATATTTCTGGGAGGAATAAAATTAGCAGCCTTAGCAGCCTTTTGCTTGCTCAGCTGGTGCAGAGGATATGCTAGTAATCCAAATATGCAGACTGTAATGCGCATTATTTTGTCCTTTTAGAAAGCAGTTATTTATTTTATTTACAGTGTCCTGTGCTTACTGTAATTTACATTCTGTCTCTCATGATCAGATACAAGACTTATTATCCAGTTTTTATAAATTCATTTTCACTAGTGGCTTGGACTGCACCAAAACTCATGACCTAGAAATAAAAGACCTTTATTTTTCCTAGAGGAAGATAGTCTAAAATAATTTTTCTTGATTCCTGCTTTTAAAATCATTCAGAGAAATAGACAACTATTACCCAAATTTCCTATATACATGAAAGAACATAATACACAAGGGTTTCTTTATTTTCAACACCTCCTCATATACATACTCAACCTCAAAGTTGTTTCATTTTTATGTACTGGGATAATTAATGCACCAGGAGGGTAAATTACACATCTCTTGTGCAAAGTGACACTTAGTCATACGTAGATGCGGTGTCTAGAGCAGCAATTCTGTGATTCTGAGTGCTTCTTCTCTCCTACTGTGTAGACAGTAGTTACAACATAGCTGTTTGCAATCCCTGAACAGAATATAAGGTCCTCTAGTACTGTGATAATGCTGCAAAAAAGGCAAAAAAAATAAAAAAAATAATAAAAAAAAAATAAAAAATCAATGGGAGATGTAAATGTGCCTACTACTTCAGGTATTAACTGGCACTGCTAAGGAGTAATACAGGCTACATCATTTTTCCAAAAGCATTAGAGGACCGGTGGATAAGAATGCTATTTCATTAAACATATGAATACATCACGCTCCATAAAAGCTGAAGCTTCTCTTCCTTTCTGTGCTCAAAGGCTACCTCCTTAAAAATTATTTTTTTGTTTTAATATGCCCCTTCGTTAAATTTACTGGCATGACAAAATAACAAAAGGCTTTTTTTGTTTTGTAAAATCCATTTTTACTCACAGATTAAGGTTAGAAGTTATTGATCTGCTAAGCCAATATGATGAAGTCTCCTATTATGACAAACTGAAGTATGCAAGGGATTAAATATCTTTCTTCTAGATTGGGGTGTTAGGAGGGGGCTCATACTAATGCTAAAAATGTTTGAGGCTGCAAAGATTAAATAAAGGAACATATCAATTTGGAGCCAGTGAATTACATCCAGCTGCGACAGTGAATTAAGAACCGATTAATGGCTAAAGCTTTTCTCCAGTTTGGATGCCGAAGCAAACTCATTAAGCTTTTAGAGTAGCTATAATGTGTGTACTGTGGGAACTGTTCAATGCTATTCAGGAGACTTTAACTGTAAGCTCAGAGCATTTCCCGCAGAGCTTCTGATGCTATTTTCTTTATATAACATGTGTGCCTGCAAATCCAGCCAAAAACAAGCCCTTTGTTTTTCTACTTTGTTGTGGTCTCTCTCAGCTTTACGTTTCTTGAACACAGGTAAATAAACTCATAATCCAGATGGTGCAACAGATGTGAGAGCAGCACTCTGAAATCAACAGACAGTGGGCAATACTTTCCATTTTCTCTTTTAAACGCTAACTAATATGTAATTCGGAATCTCCGGTGTAGTTAGCATCTGCTCCCTTCGGCCAGCCAAAGGTTACAGGTGTTCCTGATGTCATTTCACAGTAAGGCGTGGGCCTGGCTTGTGAGTGAGTGCCCAGGCTCTAATCTTTCCCTACCACCTACCAGTTTTCTCATGCTGGGCCTCCATTTGCTGCATCTTCTGTGTCAGCTCCTGCTCTCTTTGCTGGGCCTGAAGGGCTCGGGCCTTTGCTTCATTGCTAATGCTGCGCTGAATGCTCTCTTTCTCCAATCTATTAAAAAATGTAAGAAAAAAAAAAGTAAATTTGATAAAATAAGGTAAAAAGGCAAAGCAAAACATTCAATTAAGAAAAACAAAACTCAAAATCTGACCAGGCTTTTCACATGAATCATTTCTATCCCACTGCAGGTTAAGCAAGCTGACCTTTCTCTTACAATGTCACACTTTCTCTAGTGACTAGTAGAAAATGGGTAAAAAAATATGACCTATTTCCTGAGTGAAAATTAGCTATTAAGGCTATAATTTTATTTTTTTAAATTTAAAGACAACTTCTTTTTTGTAAGGAACTTCGCCGACATGCATTTTGCACCGAACAGACTACTTGTATTTTCTTTTAAATGCTATCTGTTTAATTTTGTAAGGAAACTCAGGGACCTGACCCTGAGATGGACTGGTTCCCAGTGAACCAGCGGGAGACAAGTCAATGGGAGCAATTGCCACAGTGCTCATAATTCAGCTACTCTAAAAGCCTAATGAGTTTTCTTAAGCAACCAAACAAGTTTTAACTATTAATTTATGTAAATAGGAGATGAATGCATCCATTACAACACAGAAGCCTGTTAGTGCCACGCAGGCCCAGCCCCTTGCAGCCCTGCTCACTGGGGGGCTGTACAGGAAGGTCTAAAGCCCAGTACTATTACCGAAGTACACAGGCAAGAGAGCAATTTACTTGACCAGATATGCAAGATGGGGCAATCTACTCCTGAGGCAAAACAAATGCTAGACTACCACACTCCATTGAAGCATTTTATTTAATGCAAGCCAAGCAAAAACAGCATGGAAAATAAGAAACAAAAAAGATATATGCATATAAATTAGAAAAGATCCTCAACCACAGATTTATCTCTAGACTTTCCCAGAGGTCTTAAATATTTTTCTGGTGCATATTTGGACGTAGATTCAAAATTCTACACATATGAGGACTGATTTCTAGATTTCAAAGGACATATATACACAAACACTTGTACTGAAACTATGCTTTATAGCTTAGGATAGATTTCAGTGAAGTCTTATAAACATGCTGTTTTATTCTAGTGACAATTTCCATTCCAGGGGACTACAACATGGAACACGGGCACAGATCATGTAAGGATAAAGCCACATCTCATGTGGTTGCTGCACTTAACCTTTGGATCAGTGCCTAATAACCCATCCAAGATATTGCAATATCTCAGCATGACATACACAATGTTAAATCTTCTCTCTTAAATTTACCCCAAAGCAATACAAATGGTGGGTCACATTACACTAATTCCTGGTCCTGATGTTGCAAGCAGTACCTGAGGCAAAACTCCCTTTGAAATCACAGGCAGCTTTTTCTGAGGTGGGACTGAGTGATTTGACAGAGATAATACACTTCAATAGCAGGAATATTATAGCTTTAAGGAAACAAAGCACATTGTTCAAGGATATTTCAAACATTGTTTTATATTTTATCACATCACTCTCAGAATTACTTTGTAAATATACTGATGCTGTCCTAAGGAGTAATACTTACATCAGTTCTTAAGTATAAGCTCCAAATCTGGAAAACTTTAATATGAAAAAATATTTCACATTTGCTGGAAAAAAAAAATCTAAAAACCCCTTCCTTCCATTTCCAAATGTTTTTTGCCTTCAGATAGCTGTCATGAGGCCTGCACTGTTTAAAAAATAAAATAAAATGCACCAGCACCTCACATTTCCCCCAGATATTTTCAGCAGGAGAAAGTGGCATCAACACAGTATTTTGCTTAACAGTGCCTTTGCGTGAGATGGCTGTTGGGTACTAAGTTATCATCTGGAACACAGCTAGCTGGCTGGCTCCAAGCTGTAGAGACCTCAAGCTACCAAGGTAAACCTGTACAGGTCCATTTCTCATTGATGGGGTCCCTCCTGTCCAACAAGAACTCATGCTATTGGAGAATTCAAAATAAATGGAGAACATTCTCTTGCTAAGGGGATTCACCCAAAAAAGCAATGCATCTAGGCTACCTACTGTAAATGTAAACAAACAGGACCTTGGAAACAGTGGATACATGATGAGTTCCTTATATCTGAAGTGTACAGGCATGGGTGAAAATTGGTGACTTTATGTAATGCATAAGAAACAGACTAAAAGAGTAGGAAGACAGAGTAAGTCTTTAAGCAGAATTGTAGCTGACTAGTCTCAGTATTTTGGGGACTGAGACCTACTAGTGCCACAGGAGCAAGACCTGAGGTGCTTAGAGCTGCTGAGGAATGAAACACTTCTTGGAGACAAAGTTGTCTGAACCGAGTGGTGAATCACTCACACAGAGATCTGACACCCTCCCTGCCCCCTTATTTCAGTCTCTCTGTCCTCTTACAGAAAATAGTTATGCTCCTTGAGCACTATGAATTTTCTATTGCAATAGCTTCAACATTTCTCATATTGACTAAAGGAAAACGCAAAGACAGTGAAATGCAAGGGAAGTACAGCCCAATTTTGATGATGCAAGTAAGATCAGAATCTGAAATGATGGCTTAAGATTAATTGTACCAGAATTTTTTAAAGCATCAACAATAGTTACCAATGAAAACAAAATAGAATGGATAAGCTGCAGTCTGTTCTCCAACAGAATGAAAACACTGAAAACAGAAAGTAGCAAAAATTAAAGTTCTTTAACAGTATCCATCCTGAAACATTCAGTAAAAGCCTACAGTTGCGGATTTGGCCATCACATTGGCCAATTTCACTAAAGGAAGAGTTAAACTCATGGTGATTTTCATTTTTGTGCCATGTAGTCAGAAGCAAGGAGGCAAACTTAAGTTCTCCTCGACGTCTGCTCTGAAGTACAAGTTTTCCATAGTGATTTTCTTGGAGCACCTATTGCTCTGCGCCTGAGTTATTACTGTCAAGGACAGCCCCCTTAGTTAACTTGTTTCTAAATAATCCTTGCTTTCTAAATAATTCTTGATGAAACTAAGGCCATAATGAGCTGCAGCTTATAGAACAGGAAGGTGAAGAACAGAACTGCCATCATTTGCAAGCCATAAAAAAATCTTTGCTGAAAAACAAGTGGAAATTCACTTTGACATCAAAGCTAACGTGTAAAGCACATTGGCTCAACTTGAGTCACCAAATTTAGTAAAACAAAGAAACAAAACCCTTCCCCATCACTAGTAAATGAAAACTAGCTCACAGGTCCAGTTCTCAATAGAAGACTACTTTTATCCGAGTAAAGGGAAAAAAAAGAATTTAAGTATTAGTGACATAGAAGTGTAATTTGACAAAAGAAAAATAATAATTAATTTGATAAAAAATTGATTTTTGCCTACAAAAGAACAAAACTTAGATTGATACAACTTTGAATTTCACAGTGCAGTTTAGTAGTAAATAAGTCTGTACAACTTCTGTTTTGCCAAGAGTAAAAATATAAAAAGGGGAAACACAAGATGAATCACAGCACAGCATTAGGCCTTTGACTCTGGAAGTTGCCAGTAAGCCTCCTCACAAAGCAACTTGATGTTGAAACAACCACATACCCCTACTGACTGTTTGATTTTTCCATGAGATCACTATATGGCATTTTGTAAAAAGCTAATGGATCCATTAGTAAGGACTATGAACTTAATTGAACAAATTAAAATACTCTAACAATTATGTAAGTTCTGCAGCACATCAGAGGTTATAATAATCTCATTTCTGACATCTTCATTTCTTGTTAATTAAATATTTAATTACAAAATCTTGTAGGCTTTTAGATATAGTTATTTTAAACTGGAGTTCATAAATCATTAAAGAGCAGCTGGCAGTATTGCACTGTTGTTCCAAATGTTTGTGATACCTGAACAACTAGGAATGCTGGTCTCAGTAACAGCCAGTCCCAGACTCTGCATGAACACTCACATGTAGGCAGCAAAAGGCCCGGTGGAGCCTAGCACTTCTTCCACATGTCCAGTCAAACATGGGCCCATTCCCAGGTAAGAGGCAGCCAAGAAGGTCAACACTGCAAACCACTGCACAGCAAATGCCGTCATAAGATGGGCAGCACATAACTGAGGACTCCCTTAGCTTGCCAAGAACTTTTGAGAATACATACGAGCTTGTGCTACCCATTTACCAAATGGAAGAATAGTTTTGTAAGGTACTTAAGCACTGAATTTCTAGTATCTTTACAAAAATTTGGCCCACAGGCACTCAAACCAATTCAAATACTTCCGATAACAGGACTTGAAAATCTATGTGTATTAGGAACTTCAAGGATTTCAGCCAATAGCTCAGGATTCAAAGGTCCAGAATTTTTTTTACAGTACTTTGCCTTAACAGTTGGTTCTAAAATACTAAAAGAAATTGAAAACTACCAAGAAGTCTTCACAGGTAGAGTTTTAAATCACTTTTTCCAGTAATGCAAAACAACTTTGAAAACTGCTTTTAGACCTGCCTCCCAGTTGAACATCACTGCAGTATTCTATTAGGTTATTTACAATGGAGAGCATAACTCCATAACTTGTTATGTGAAGTTTTAGTGTTCCAAATACTTAAGGTAAGGAAATACAACACAGTAAGATTCCAAATTCTGCAGACAAAGAAGTAAACGGTTTTAAGTGTAGTCATGATTCAAAATTATTTATTACCATACCTTAAAAATCAACAGATAAGTATGTAACATGCTCATATGTTAGGGTCAGGTATTAATAAGACTTAGAATCTGAAGATACCTCCCTTTCTCTTAAGTCAAGCTTCGAGGAACCTTTTTCAGTGCTGGTTATCTTCTTTTATGGAGCTTATATATTAATCATCTAATTGATCTCCATTAAAACTGAGGACTGCTACAACTGAGGACATAGCTGGGCAGTGTTTCCTCCTCCAGTGTTTCTCCTCTTATGGAACAATGTAAATTTGGTATTTATTCCCCATTTTTTTTTAATAAATGTATTGATTTTTCCCTACTTGTGTAAACTCACCACACTATGCTTGGGCTGGCCGGATTTTACGGCACTCAGTTCTTTTACAGGGCAGAAGGAGAGGCATGACATGAATGTTTCTGA